AGCAGGAATTGGGATTGGTAACATGACCAAATGAACACATGTGGCTTTCTGTGGAGGCTTCCTTTACCCAAAAAGCTCTATGTACAGGTCTCTCCAGGACTAGCTGTCAATATGTCATTTCTGAAAGAGGATACTGGCATCTAGGACCCCGTTTGATCATCCCAGTGAATCCTTTGCCCTGCACTGTTGTCTCACTTGGTTCTAGGAAGCAAACGAGAGCTTGACACTGGCGCTGGAGTAACCTTCGTCACTCCCAATACTCTGCAAGCTGCTGTGATCATCAATGTCACTGATGCTGGTTGTGCTGATATTGTCCACTTCTCCATGGGAGAACTCTGTGCTTTCAACATCCACTTCGATCTCTTCTAAAAAGGAAAGGGAGAGAAATGCACACAGGTTAGCGCTGCAGGCCCAACTACTCTCTGCAAGCCAGCGAGCTGCTGGGACTCCTCCAGTCAGGGATGAAGCAGCAGCCTGGCAAGAAAACTTTGTGTTCTCCCTGGAATGGGATGGGCTGGGACAGAATTTATAAAAGGACTGGATACCAGCTTGGAGTTTTAATTAGGGACTTGACTCCTGTAGCATGCAGGCCACACTATCAGCACAGGTGGGCAGCCCCACGCACCGAACTTGTTCCTCTACCCCTTTCTTTGGAGCTCTATCACCCCAGTGTGGGAAACAAAAAGAAAAACAGAGGGTAGTGGAGAACACAGAGCGTGAAGTTATCCCAAAACGTGCTACTTGCTTGGTATGATGCTGCCAAAGCTGGATAACTCACAGAGGGCATTACAATACACCACCACGGGGATCTGGGTTACTCTCAGAGATGCTCAGTGGAGTTCAGAACATAAATCTGATTTTTAAGACAGACTTGGAAAGCTGAGGTCTAGTTAACGAGATATCTTGGTTCCCATATCGTTTAGGGATTTTCCAAAAGGACTTTTTTTTTAAAAAAAAAAAACAAAACAAACTACAGACTCACACCCAAACCGTACAACATTTTTGGGTCTGTCAGTAAATATCAAACCATCTCCAGCATCTAAATATCTCTCCACAGCAGAGAGATTTTAAAAAAAAAAAAGTTATCAGAATTCAGTTAGCCATTCCCATCACCTCCCTCCAGTTGTAACTGAGGAAGTGAGCTGTATGGGAAGCCTGGAAAAACAAAAGTGTGTGTATGTTTGTGTAGAATGACTCTGGGAATTTTAAGAGGCAATTTGCTTTGTTCTGTATGCCTGCTTATACTGTGGCACCTTGGTTATACCACGGCCCAAATACAGAAAGAGAAGCTGGATGCTGCTTTGCAACACCCATTCCAGTCCCACTAATACCTTCTTACATTTTCCTCTTTGCGTTGCCAAGGGATTCAGTAGAACAAGAAGCACAAAGGGTATTTCAACTTTACCATCAGGTATTTAGCTACCACCTTGTAATCACATTATTTTTCCTAACTAATGCTTTGGCATTTTAAAGAGCTTTTCAGGGAAACAGGTTGCTTTAAATGCCACAGAAATCAGCTTAAGTTGACAATAACAACACTTCTTCCAGACTTAATTAGAACTCAAGCAAAATACTAAACTCTTCATATATATGTGTGTGTGTGTCTCTGCACGTGAGCAAAATCAGCTGCCTAAATACCAGAGGCAGTAAGAAGGAGGCAGCTGAGAGACAAGAAATGGACGAGCCTCATGCCTTTGCTTCACAAAAGAGATTCAGAGCTGGTTCAGTGACACTCACCTCGCTCCGAGTCAGAGCGATCCGAGGAAATGGTAGATCCAATGCTGTCCATTCGTATTCGCTCTATCTCCTGAGGACCCTGTAGTTGTTCCAGTCTTCTCTTTAGGAATCTTTGTTCTCGTTCCAGGTTCTCAAGCTGGTGTTGACTTTTCCTCTCAGCCTCTTCAAGTTTCTGACATGACCAAATATGACTCAGTAATTAGTTTCATCCTTTTCTCCTTCCCTCCCACCCCCACTGCTCAGCCACCTGCTTTGCTGAGACCTTTCCAGGTCCCAGAAGGATTTAAGCTGCTAGAGAGCCCTAAACCAAGCTGCCTTGCCGTCTCCAGGAACAGTGCCATCTCCTCACATCTTTTCTACCTCCCAGGTCCTGATAAAGCATACACATTAGTACAAAAAGTCTCCGAGGACAGAGCCTCTCCAGGGGAAATGGTCTGAACTGTAGGCAGTTTGTGGGCCATTCCCCATGGGTTCAGCCACTTGCATTACCAAATCGGTCCACGAAGGGGCCTCAATTCCTTAACCAAACCAATTCAGGGGTTGTTATGAACCACTGTAACTTAAAAACGTGCCCTGGGAGTTGTGTGTTCCTTGCCGCATGGGTTAGTAGGATTTCTCGGGAACAGTTTTCTATTCAGCAAGCGATTTACATAACCTACTACGGATTTCTTTGATCGCAGCTGGGGAATCTACCAGGGCACTGCTCTTTGTTTCCTACCACGAGCAGATTGCATAAGGAGGAGTCATTCCAGGCTAACTCTGTCCCTTCGGCAGCGCTTTTTCTCCCTCACCACCCATCCTCCCTCCTGCTATCCCGACCTGCGACAAAGTATTTCAGCCTCTTCCAGATACTGACAACACTGCGTTTTCTTTTCCTGCTTTGCTTTGCCAAAAATGAACCTGGAGGAGTGCCGGGCTAGCCGGCAGGTTGGCACATGAAACCGCAGCAAGCCAACCCTGTCTCACGCTCGTGTGGTTTGCGCTAATGCTTCGGCAGTGGAAACACACCAGCACGTCAGAAAGAAAAGCTGCATTTCCCGTCAAAATGCAGCCGGTCAACAGTAGGTGTGTTTTTCCTTAAAGAGATGCAGCTGTCAACCAATGATCACAATACAGAGCAAGACCCCTGCTCTCCACATCAATCATTTCCGTAGTTAACAGAGTTCATTATGGACTCTTCTAACAATGTGGCTTGTAACAATGATAAATGATTAACCAAGGGGGCAAGGCTTGCTTGCTTTTTTTAAAGATGTTGGTCCCTTCGACAGTTACCTCTAGGCAGCAAGAGCGAGCGCCTGGATCCCCCTTCCCACAGCCCAGGCCGAAAGCAGCTGGGACAAGCAGCTCTTACCTTGATATGTGCTTTGCGTCGTGTGCCTGGTGCAGTCTGGTCCTAGCGGTATCAGAACTTTTAAGCGTTCTAGACACAGGCGGAGGTGAGCTCGGCTGCAAGGGGAGAAGAGGAGGGTCAGAGTGATGCTCTGAGAGGGAATGTCATTTCCTTCTCTACCTCCCCCCAAGAGGCAGTTTTCATGTTTCTCTCTTTGCACACATCACAAGATTCCCCACAGGTACCAGGACAGACTGACACTCAACTATTTACTCTGCAAACATCAGCTGCTCACCAATACCTGCATTATTGCTAACCTCTGACAGACACTGTTTGTTTTCTTGCTGTCTGAACTGATACTGGGACTCATCTGGATGAACTTTGTGCAGGGACAAGGCACACAGGCAAATGGTACAAGTATCTCACGGCTTTCCTCTCCCTCAGTTATTCACTGTGAACAACTTCGGCGAAAGCAGTTTCCAATGACCCCTGCACCCCTGTGCACTGCTGGCTCGGGTGCCTTTGCTGCAAACTGATCTAAGCGCCCTCTTTTTGCACAAAATTAAGATGATCAGTGAGAAAAATGGTGAGCCCAAACCACCCACACAATCCTGCTGTCAGTTCAAGGAGCTGGAGGGACCAGGTCTGAAATGCTGCTGGGGGTGGGAACAAGCCCCTTCCCTGGGCAGCCTTCTGCCCTTGGCTCACGTCTACAGAGACGGGCTCGACCATGACAGTGTTGCCGATGGTATGAGCCATTTTCTGCAGAATATGGAAACATGTTCGGGGGAAAATGGTTCAGGCAGCAGTAGCAAAGCACATTGTCCTCCGGCTGCCCAGGAAAACTGTTCCTGCTATCTCCTCCTCTGTACCACGTATGCAGGAATGAACGGCAGATTTATGGAAAACTATCAAGTATGGGTTGCCTTTTCCCCCCTCCCTCTCTCCTTCCCAGACATTAATGATTTATGTCCAAACTTGTCATCCCAATCAATAACACAATGACATCAGCTCCACCATTCACATACCAGAAACACCGGTGCAAAGGAGTCCTGAAAGCCTATCCCAGCCCCTGCTCGTGCACAAAGAAACCGAACCTCAGCCGCCTCCATTTCAATGCGGGGGAAGTAAAATAAACCCGAGCACAGACAGTTCATTTCCATTTGGTTTTGAAATTCACTATTGCACCCCACTTGAAAGGGGTGGGGGAGTCTGTAATCAGGCAATTATGTCAGTGACAAGCAAGGATGATTAAGGGTGGAAGGGTCAGGGGTTTTGGTGATGAACTGTCAGCGCAGGGGAGTGCTCGCTAGCGATGCTGTAGCTGTGAGCTCCTCACTGTTTCTCTTATAAATCTCTTCACAAAGGGTCCATCATCCTGTCTCAAGAACAGCCACAGGGCTGCACATGACCAGCAAGGGCCTTGAAGAACACACGATTTCCGTTAAATATTAACAACTGGAGGGGTGGGCCAAAGGGAGTCATAATCCAAAAATCAAACTGAAAAAACAGGACTCGCATCAATCTCACCTTTTACTTCTCATCTTGCTCTAGAGCAAACCCCACATTAAATCCACATGGCTGACACAGGGAGATTTTTTTCTACCTGGAAACCTATTTTCAACGTAGAGCTTGATCTGCAGGAGTTGTGTGCACCCACTGTGGGTGTCTGCCCGATGACCTACAGGGCCAGCAGTGAAGAAGCATTGCTGGCTCAAGCTGGCAGTATAGATGTCACCCCACAGGGGACTGGACACTGAGTCGTTGCAGCTAGAGAAAGGAAGAGGAGGAGGATCTTGTGGTTAAAGTCATTCTGGGTTTTGAGCCCATTTTTGGCTATGCCACAGGTTTCCTGGACAGCCACGGAGGCAAGTGACTGGGTCAGAGCTGCCGGAGCACCGCCATCAAGCTGCAGCAGAGAGCAGGCCATGTCTCTCCACAGCAGGAGTACGAGCTCCAGCCACACACCTGCAGCCCAAGTCACAGCTGCGGCTTGAAAGAGTGAAAGGTGCGTGCGTAGGTCTGGGGGCAGAGGAGCAAGGGCTGGTTCCACCTACCAGGGCACTTGCTACACAGCACCTGCTAAGGCAGGGACCGCAGGGTCCCCCCTGCCCCGTGGGCCAGGGCAGCTTCCGGCCCATAGTGAAAACTGAATTATCCGTGTAACAGGAAACAAAGTTAGGAGAATCAACATCTAACCAGTGTCAAAGGTATCACAGCCCACTCCTGAATGCAGAGAGAATGGACAACACATCTACAGCCTGAGCTTTGGGGTCAACGCTGGAGGTTTTACTAGGAACCGGGGAAGGCACTCCACCAGGAACTGCAATTCCTGGAACGAGCAATTGGCTTCCGGCAGGAGCGAGTGAGCACTGGCCAGATTGCTGAGACAGCAGTGAAAAACATGGCATCCATCTGCCACGTCAGAAGCTAGGTTGTGTGCAGACTCGATGAGACCGACCGTGTTCAGCACCTGAAAGCTATATGCAAAGATCCAGCCACACAATAAAACCCTGGACGCTGACACGCTTCCTGTCATGCCCCAGGCCCACGGTGGATCGGAGAAGGTTACTGCGCTCTGCAGGCCCTGGCCAGGGCAGGGAGAGGACAGAGCAGCCAGAGGGCCTGTCCTCGTGAGGAGACTGGGAATGCTGGCAAACTTACTGCCCCAGCACGTGTGGCCCCACCAGGGCCATTTTTCCAGTTCTGCATCCCCGGACTGGCTCTCAAAGCCCAGGAGAGTGGCCCAGGCTCACGCAGATGGTTTCAGAGAAGCCGCTCCTGCCAGCGGCTCTGCTGGCCCGTCACCAAAGGCTGCGGCCTGCAGCAGGGGTGATGGCCTCTGCCGGCACACCAGCCATCAGGAGGGGACACCTGCCTGCGATGAGGGCATGAGACGAGCTGATAAGCTGAGGACAGGACAGCAACAAGCATGCTGCAGGGGCAAGTGGCATTGGCTGGGCCGAGGCAGGTTTGGAGGGGTTTGACCAAAGCAACCACTTCTGTGCCGCTGCTGGATTTCCCCTTCCTTTGCTCTCAGAGCCGAGCCACGCTCAGTTTTGACACCACTGCAAATGTAAGTGCATTTATCTCCAACCACAGCCCGGCCGAGGGTGGCACACAGGCTTTACATCAGCACGCAGCATGGCCAGCCTTGGCACGCAGGCTGGTGCAGGCCAGGGACAGCCAGGCCCTTAGCCCTGCAGTCACCTCCCGCTGCTGGGGACAACGCTGGCGGAGCTGCTCCCTGCCCAGTGCAGCTGGGATAGCAAACAGCAACCGTCCTGGCACCCGAGACAGCAAATCAACCAGCATCCTCAGCTCTCCCCTTCGCAGTGCTCAGGACCTTGCCTTTTTATTTTTAAAACCTAACCCGGTCACAGTCCGACCTCTCTCAACTTCCAGCAGCCTGAGCAGACCGCGATGGGTTCTTAAACCACAGAGCACACAGGCAGGTCTGACGCACTGATGGGTGGCTCCAGTAAAACCCAGAAATAAAACCCCACAGCTCAGAAGCATCACAGCAAATTTAGCTAAAAGACTGTTTCAGAGAGAAAGCAATCACAAACCTATTAATCTTCCTTACTGAGTCCTGGAGCTGGACCTGGACAGCTGTAATCCCAGGGGTCAGGCCACGATGCGAATGTCTTTTCCCCTTGTTTACCTGGGCTCTGTTGCAACGTGGCTTTGACAATGCTGCAGGCTCTTGTATTCAATGAAAATACCAGCATTGTGCAGGCTCCAGACAGAGCCAGACGGCTTTCCATGTAAACCACTGGATTATGCCAATATTTGACGCATCTGCCAATATCTGGAAAAACAAGTCTAAATGCCCATATTGTTATATAACAGAGTAACAACTCGGGCTTGGTGCGAAGGGCTGCTGCCTCTCGCTGCCTTGATCCTGGGGAAGACAGAGGGTGACAGGAGGAGAATTCCAGTTTCAGCCAAGGCCGAAGCCTTTGCATGCTAGCTGTGGGGGAGACAGGAGAAGCTGGAGCCCTTTGTCCTGCCTAAGTGGCCTTGGAAAAAAATCAGGCTCTCACAGCAGCATCCTGTGCACATGGTAGGTGCTGGATGTGCTGAAGAAATAATCCAGGGAGGATTTGAAAGGAAGGGACTCTCCTCCTTCCCAAGAGATCAGTCCAGTGTCCCCATCCTGCTCAGCCTGATGATGGGGAAGAATCCTATTTGAGATTCCCATGTGGGGCATCCGGGTGGCCAGAAAAGGAGCAAAGCACCCAAGAGGCTTCAGTAAACCAGAGCCTGGCAAACACCTCTCTGTCCCAAAGAGCTGAGGACAACCTGTTCCACTTGGCAACTCCAGCTAGGACAAGGTCCCTCTGCCACTTCTGCTTCCTGCCCTGTGCAGGGCCAGGAGGAGCCCAGAAGGAAATTCCTCTAGGATGTGGAGGGCAAGCTGAGCAAGAATGTCCTCTCTTCTCTGCCAGCAGCTGCTGTGGGAAAAGGTATGTCAGCTGCTAAACAGATGGGCCAGGAAACTGAAGCAGAAGAGGGATGAGCAGCAGCCCCATCGGCCTGCCAGCTGATCCACAACAAGCTATAGGTAGCTGCACGTGGAACAGTGCGCTGGCCCCCGAAACGCCACTGCTGCCCACTGGGCACATGCTGTTCTCCCTCCATTTTCCTTTTGTGCCTGTGAAAGAGCTTCTGACCGCGTCTGGGTTATCTACTCCTACCCCCCAGCTCCCCTCCAAGCCTGAGCCCCTGGCCCTCTGACCTGAGCCCCTGCCACAGAGCAGCCCAGCCCCTGCTCTGTGCATCCGCTCCTTGCACTTGGCTGTGCCTGGCTGCAGAGGGCTGCGATTTCGCAGCCTGCTCTCCCCTCCAGCTCCCAATGACATCATCCACCCTGATTATATAAAGCGCGGGGAGGAAGCCTGTATTTGTGCGTGCTTTTTGCTCACAGCTTCAGCTGTCTCACTGTACAACCCGCACCCAAATCCCACCGCAGGAACCGGGCTCCTTTTTGCCTGGTCCAAAACCGCAGTGCGGAAAGAGGTGTGGGTGCAAAAACTTCCCCATTTCCCTCCCCCACTCTTCTGAAGACATTTTTTGAGGTGTTTGGGTAGGAATCAATCTGCCCCACCACTCT